GTTGCCACTAACCACTCTTCATTTTCAATCCACACTGTTGCCACTAACCACTCTTCATTCTCAATCCACACTGTTGCCACTAACCACTCTTCATTCTCAATCCACACTGTTGCTACTAACCACTCTTCATTTTCAATCCACACTGTTGCTACTGTCCACTCTTCATTCTCAATCTACACTGTTGCCAATGTCCACTCTTCATTCTCAATCCACACTGTTGCCACTAATCACTCTTCATTCTCAATCCACATTGTTGCCACTGTCCACTCTTCATTCTCAATCCACACTGTTGCCACTGTCCACTCTTCATTCTCAATCCACACTGTTGCCACTAACCACTCTTCATTCTCAATCCACACTGTTGCCACTGTTCACACTTCATTTTCAATCCACACTGTTGCCACTGTTCACACTTCATTTTCAAAGCACACTGTTGCTACTGTCCACTCTTCATTTTCAAAGCACACTGTTGCCACTGTCCCGCTTCTGTTTAGCCAGATAACACAGTTTATTGAAGAAAAAGAAGAGAGAGTCAAGGGTAAATATTAGTCCTTTAAAAGATCCTAATGAGGTCTTAATATGAAGGAGTTGAATATACTTTACTGAATAGTTAATCTTCAACTGATAAGATTTCTTTAAACTTGGAGAGATATTTAATTAAAATTCTGTTTTGGTTGAAAAAAAAAACGTTTTATAAAAGTATGTTGACGTCTTGAGAGTGAAGTTGTGGATATCTGAGTGGTAGAGATCAGTAGAAAATTACCAAAGATTTGTTTGCCCCACCAGTCCATATGACATTAGTGACAATGATTCTTTTTTACAATCACTTCCTTGACAAAACTGCTCTTTTTTTATAATTACTTCCTTGATAAAACTGCTCTTTTTTACAATCACTTCCTTGACAAAACTGCTCTTTTTTATAATTACTTCCTTGACAAAACTGCTCTTTTTTATAATTACTTCCTTGACAAAACTACTCTTTTTTTACAATCACTTCCTTGACAAAACTGCTCTTTTTTACAATCACTTCCCTGACAAAACTGCTCTTTTTTACAATCACTTCTTTGACAAAACTACTCTTTTTTACAATCACTTCCTTGACAAAACTGCTCTTTTTTTACAATTATTTCGTTGACAAAACTGCTCTTTTTTACAATCACTTCCTTGACAAAACTGCTCTTTTTTACAATCATTTCCTTGACAAAACTACTCTTTTTTTTACAATCACTTCCTTGATAAAACTGCTCTTTTTTTATAATTACTTCTTTGACAGAACTGCTCTAACTTGTACTTCTCACCCAATGAAAAGATTGAAATGTGAAAGAAGTACAAAAGCATGTATTTGTTTATAAGAAGTTTACTTCCAAAACATACCTTTAGTGATATGCAAAGTCAATGCTGATCTTTTGGAACATGTGTTTTAATTTCCTTCTCTTCCTGGTCAGCAACGACCTGTCTTAAGAATTGTTGGAGTGATGTACTTATGATGCTAAAACTGTTTTAGAAAATACTGCATCTTCCTGCAAGAGAAAAGAAATCAAAAATCACTAATTATCAACACCTTTGTTCAGGATATCCCCTTTCTGTGTAGCCAATCATAATGTACAGTTAACACATTCCTCTCCTTTTACTTGGAGCTTCAAAAATATATGGAAAGATCTAGAAATTTCGCAAGTACAAAATAGCTACAATTTTGCAATGATTTCTGTTTCACTCTGACTTAGCGAAGTGGAGAGAAAGTGCACTGGGTCACATACATAGTCAATAGCCACATCAAGTAATGGAACTTACTGAAATCTGAAGATGACCTTTGTTCATTTACTTTGGCAATTTATCAGCTTAAACAAGCAGAATATTATGCTTGTAAACACGTTTCTGAAGATAGACTGTATAATGCTAAGGCTCTTCGACTTGATAATAATTTCTTTCCCTAGGGGTATGAAGAAGAATAAGGACTGTACATGTGAGCCAGAAGATTCGAAGTTGACTAGTTACTCCTGTTTTTTAAGGGAGGTGATAAACAGTGTTCAGTTAATTATATGCTTATTAGTCTTAGATCAGTTGTAGTAAAAGTTTTCGAAAGTCAGATAAAAGATGCTTTGGAAATTCATTTAACAAAGTTTAAAATTTTGTTGGATAGTCAACACGGTTTCACAATATTCTGACATTCTTTGAAGAGGTTACAACTTAAGTAGATGAAGGTAAGGGTGTGGAGTTGGTGCATATGGATTTTTAAAAGGCATTTAACAATATACCATATAAAAGGTTTGTTAAAAAAATATCTCTGTAGATGTGAGGGATAAACTGGCTCGTTGGATTGAAAAATGGCTGAATGAAAGAAAGTAGATGGTTGTTATAAATGAAGTTCATTCAAATTGGGGTACCTCAGGGGTCAGTGTTAGGGCCTTTCCTTTTTCTGATTTACTTACATGGCATAGAAGAAGGAATAGACAAGAAACTGTTTAAATTTGCTGTTGATATTAAGGTCTTGGGTGTTGCTAGCTGTGAGGATGCTGCTGCTTTACAAAAAAATCTAGATTATTTGGTGAGGTGGCCAAAAAGTGGCATATGGCTTTTAATTATAATTAATATATGCTAAGTTATGCATATGGGTTATCATAGTTTAAATTTTAAGTACATAATTTTTTTGTTAACAATGTTATGGATGAAAAGGATTTTGGCATTCTGGTTGATCAGTCTCTTATGCCATCCAGGCAGTGTGATGTTGATAGTGATAGAGCAAATAGGAGGTGAGAAGTTAAGATCTCTAAAGAAGAGCCAGAGAGGAGTTTAAGAGAAGGTTTGATAAGACTGAAAAAAAAAATGTCTTACTAGTAACCTCTAGTCCAGTTAGTAGCTCAATCACTTGTTGTGCGAGGGGTCACGGGTTCAAATCTCAGACGAGGATGTAACAAAAATAATAGATTTACCACAGGAACTGATTCTGTCAAAATCTTCCTCTCAGTACAACTGGCCTAAAATGTAGAAAATGAGCCTTAACACCGAGTACTGTAAAGTTATTAAAAATTGGTATGAAGTCTGTCTTATTTATTATGTGGGAAGAGCAAAGTTTTTTTGTGGAGAAAGAAAAGGTATTTTAAGTTATGATTACAAGTGACTTCCCTAGGCTTCTGCTGAGTATTTAACATAACGAAAATAACAAATAAAGTTCTTGGTCTTATTTGTAGGGATCTTGAATTTAATAATGGTATCGTACCTTGTACAAGATGCCGGTAAAGCCTCACTTGGAATATTATGTTCAGATTTGGTCAATTTACTACATGGAGAACATCAACACATTGGAAAGATTGTGTTTAAAGGCTACAGTAATGATAACTGAAATTCATGTTCTAAGAAGGTGTTTACAATTTAGGATTTGATTTCTATGAAGCATGGATAAGTTAAAGATGGTGCGACTTATATGATAAAACTATTAAATGGTTCGACAGTTTTCCATGTGTGGTTTTAATTAAGTGATTGAATGGAAGGTTCGCAGTTCAAATTTGAATATTAAGTAGACAGTTTTAGGCTTTAAAAACCTAGAGGTACATTTGTTTTGTGACAAAGTTCTTGCTTATTTTTATTCTGTTGTTAGAATTCTGAAACATTTGGATTAATTTGAATTAACAGTTCTTTTAAACTTCTGTTGTTAAGAATACTGATACAAATGGCTAGATCTAATCTTAAGTCAATAAATTTTGGCTGCTGCTTCTGGGGGAAGGGGAGGGCCTTGATAAGGTAAATGACTTTTTGTTGCCAAGATGTTTTATTTCTGCTTATAATGTTTTATGAAAGACTTCCCTAATAGTTTCATTCAGATATATCTTGGTTATATGTTACAGCAAATGCCAAAAATATTATTAACACAAGTTTAATCTAGTTTTTTCTTTTCAGCTATAAATAAATAAACTGGCAATTTGTGCGTACTGATATGCACACAAGTAACCGCTATTGATGATGTCATTTAATCAGTATGTTGTACTATTGAATGTCGATTTAAGTACATACTCTTCTTTACCATTAAAACCTATGTATTTAAGTATGATTACACTATTGATCGAAAAATTGTATCTATTTAAATAAAAATTCATCCTTACTGTAAAACCTACAACTTGTAAAAATACTTATCAGTAAGTAAACCCAAACACAAATACCTATATTGGTTACATAAAAATAAATACATCTATCAAGAACTATGATATGAAGGAGAGGATTTTGTTGGCTAGCAATTACCTAAAGTTGCTATGCAACTGTTAAGTTTTTCATCTATCACAGCCGCTTGCAAGCATAACTGGAAAGTATTCAGTGACATAAAAACAAAATGGTATAGCTTCACAGCAGAACAACTAAACTTGTTACTGTGTAAGATAAATATCTGGACAGTGGCAACAGTGTGGTTTGAAAATGAAGAGTGGACAGTGGCAACAATGTGGACTGAGAATGAAGATTGGACAATGGCAATAGTGTGGATTGAGAATAAAGAGTGGACAGTGGCAACAGTGTGAATTAAAAATGAAGAGTTTCATTATTTAATTTCTGTAGTACATATTGGTGTCTAGAAGACATATTAATACTCGAAATGTATGGCCTTATAACACCAAAATGTTGTTATTATTTAATAAACTGTGTTATCTGGCTAAACAGGAGCCTCATTATTTAATTTCTGTAGTACATATTGGTGTCTAGAAGACATATTAATACTCGAAATGTATGGCCTTATAACACCAAAATGTTGTTATTATTTAATAAATGTTATCTGGCTAAACAGGAGCGTCATTATTTAATTTCTGTAGTACATATTGGTGTCTAGAAGACATATTAATACTCG